TCTACATGCTTCCCAAGATACACAGACAAGGGAACCGAGGCAGACCCATCATAGCTTGCCACGGCACTCTTAATGACGGAACACTGGGACTCATAGAAACCATCCTCAAACCACTCACCACACAAAGGGCCAGCTTCTTCCAGGACACAACCAACTTCCTCCAGAAACTCTGCAGCTTTAACAACCTCCCTTAGAACACCATCCTTGCCACCACTGATGCCACCTCCCTATATACCAATATCCCTCACAATAATGGATCACTGCCTGCCTCAAATATCTACAAGACAGTGGACAACCATCAGATATCCACCCCAAACACATAGCCAAACTCATCCATTTCATCCTCATCCTTAACAATTTTATGTTCGACAACAAACAGTTTGTCCAAACCTTGGGAACAGCTATGGGTGGTTCCCAGTATCCCAACCTCTTCATGGGCCACTTTGAAGAAGAATTTCTGGACAAATACACTATTAAACCATTGCCAGAGATACATTAATGTTATTTTCATCATCTGGAGAGACCTAAACTCCCTCATATAGTTCCACCACAACTTCAAGAACCACCACCCATCTATTAAGCTCTCTCTGAAACACTCCCACACTAGCATCAACTTCCTGGACACTGTGATCAGCTTGAACAATGTAACGCTACAGACAATTATATACTAGAAACCATGGATCACCACTCTTACCTTCATAGATCCAGTAACCACCCCAAATGCACCAAGAAATCTGTAATCTACAGGCAGGTACTCAGATACCACAGAATATGCTCCAAGGACAGAGTACAGGATAAATACCTTAAAATACTTAACAATGCCTTTACCAGAGAAAAATATTGCATCAGAGAAGTAGATCACATCATGGAATAGACCGTCCAAATACCCAAACAGAACATCCTTCAATACAGAAATAAAACCTCTCCAACTGCACCCGTCTAGTTGTCACCTATCAACCCACACTGGAATCCATACAGGGTATCATCAAACAATTAAATCTCATACTCAATAGGGATCACATCCTGAAATAAATCATTCCTGAATCACCTCTTCTGGCCTTCAAACTCCCCAACCTCTCCAAGCTCATCATCTGAAGCAAGCTCTCCACGAACCTGGACACACCAACTCAAAGTAGCACCAGGCCCTGCCAGAACAACAGATGCAAAACTCATAGACATATCTCCACTTCTACTATGACTAACATCCCCTAAACACACTTTTCAAGATTTATGAACACATGCCTATCACAACATGATATACCTCATCTGATGCATTAAATGTCCCAGTAACAACTATGTGGGTGAAATGAGACAATCACTATGCTCTTGAATGAACTAATACAGAAAGATGATAAAAGACAAAAACACCCTATCATCTGTGGGGGAACACTTTTCACAAAGTAATCACTCTACATCTGACCTCATAGTCCTCATCCTCAAAGAAAACCCGCCCGACACCTTGAAAAGATGAACCTGGGAGCTTAAATTCATAGCTTTGCTAGATACTAAAAATCATGGACTGAACAGAAGAACTGGATTTATGGCTTATTACAACAATCTGTACCCACTAACTGCCCCCCCACACACTTTCCTCCCCCTCTTTTATCCCCTCCTATGATTGGAGAGATGTTAACAGGCCACTTCATCGAGAATGGTCCCTTGAAATATGTGCTAACTACTTATGCTAAACAATCTGTTCTACCTTTAATTCCTTTTGGGCACATCTACACTACAGTTAAGTTGACTTAAGTTATGTTGATGGTTATGTCGTTTTAATAACATTGGTTGTGCAGATCCACACAACACTCCTTGTGTCGGTGAAGGATGTCCACATTTGTTGCTCTTACATTGGCAGAGAGAGTGTTGCATTGTGGGTAGCTTTTCCACTGTGCAACCACCACTCTCTGTTGTTGGCAATTCTGGAATGGATTGCCATGCATCATGAGGATATGTTCGCCATCCCGTAATGCAGTTCTTTCTATCTCGTCATTCCATGGGCTTCCTACTTCATTTCATGCCATTTTTCAACAGCTCTTATAAACTGTGTGCCTGTCATCTCTGCCTGACAGCATGGATCCCGAGCAGTGTGCCAGTCTGGTGATGAGGGTTATGAACACAATGTGCCTAGTCCTCCAGTATTTCATGAGCTGTGACTCAGAGAGTGAATCGGTGATGCCTGACCTGCTGGCTGCCATGGAAACAAATAATTCAAGATTACTGCTGGCATTCATGGAACAGCTTGTCACAGTGGACCATTGGTACTGGGCTTGGGAAACAAGCACTGAGTGGTGTGGGATCACATCATGATGTATGTATGGGATGACCAGCTCTGCAACAGACTGAAGTTTGGGGGGAAAACCTACTTTATTAGATAGGAAAGGTAACTATTCAGAAGTGTACACCCAGATTTGCATTTTATTATTTTCTTTTGTATTGTAATCCTTTGTTTCCACCACTCTCCCTTGTTTCTAGCTAAATCTTTATTCTTTCTTAAACCTACTTTTGTTTTATTATAAGTGCTCACAAGTGCTGTGTCATTTTCAGGAACAGTGGTTTAAGGTAAAACTAGTAAACTGAGGTATGCTGTTTCTTTGGAGGCAGAGGGATTTGGGATATCTGTTAGTAGCCAGAATCAGGGACTAGATATCACATGGGAATGATTCAAAAGCATTCAGGGATGGGGGTGCACCTACTGTTAACTTGCAAGGCAAAGACAGGGTTAGCATAGCATAGAGGAAAGTGCTTAAGTGGCTGAAAGGCTAGTGTTAGGGACTCCGTCACGCTAGAGGCGTGGGTGACAAGGTGACTCACAGTCCTGAATGACCCGAGAACTGTCACAATAATTATAAAATACATAGGTAAAGCCAAGGTTGGGAGAGGATTTACAATTTAAATTTGTTTCTGGATCTGCATACAAGTATCTAGTTTTAAAGTTTAGTGTAAATACATCACACTTTTGTATTTAAGATCCAAAGAGTCTCAAAACCACTAACAATTGTAGTAAACTTTCTCAGCTTGAAGTTATTCCCTGCATTTCTTAGATCATATAAAGCAATACAAAATACTATTTTTCACAGTGTCCCCATCTTCCTCACCCCTAGAGCATTTGGTGTGCTTTACAAAATTAAAATATTCTAAAGAAACAATAGCTCCCTACCTTTCACCATCTTCTTCAAACAAAGAAACAAACACTGTTCTTTTGCAAAATATTTCAGTGATGATCTGTCCTCTTGTCGACTCTATAACCAACACTTGAGGACAGGGTAACTCTATTCACATGAGTACTCCCAGAGAAGTAAATATCCCCTAAGTAAAGTGATATGCAAGCTGAAGCATTTTCAGGACCTAGGCCCATATCTCCATTCCTTTGAATTGTTAACCCAGAGTTTGTATTTGTGTTGTACGGCAAGTTCCTTTGAACAGGACTCTGGTTATTTTACATAGTAACAATGCACTGTATAAAGTCCGCTTATGTCATTCCCTAAATAATATTTTAAAATCATAAAGTTAAACATAAACCCTCAACAAACATAAATCAGAGCAGCATCATTAAAGAAGGGTGGTTCACTGTACAGGAGCTGAAAGTGATTAACAAAGAAATGTTTGTGCAACTATTGTGTTTTAATCATTTTAAACAGAGAGAGGTAGACAAGAAAGTAGAGACACGACTGGAACCAAATTCCAAGCACCAAGGGCTATCACAGCAGAAGCTTAGTCTCACCTGCTGGCCTAAGATATAATGGTGGTACTTGAAAAAGGAAACAGTGACAGTTAAGAAGGCCAAATAGATAAAAGATACTGTCAGTTCCTTTAGTAAATATAAGTAGTAAGCACAGACATTGAAATCATCCTGCAATGATGGAAACCCACTGGAGATGTATAGATTACCCACCACTGCGTTTGAGCCATGGGCTGTTGCTTAGTGCTTGTTATTATGAATCATTTTAATTATCTAACTATTTTCAGATGAAAATCTTATTTTTTAACCCCAACTCAAAACAATGGAGCTTTTTTACATTCTGTTTTAAGAACCCTGCTGTTGGAGCCATGTTGTGATAATGCAGCCTAGCTAAGACTACCAGATGTATCGTAGCAGAACACAGACACAGAAGTTAAATAGCCAAATAATATCTTCAGAACTGAAGTTAAAAGAAACAATGGTTTGAGGGAGAAAGGGATTTTAAAAAAGTCTACTACCCTAATCATTGTTCAGACAGTAGGTAATTGATAAAATAAATGTTTCCATTATTTTGGCTGTGCATTGCAGGGTTTTCTAAATTAAATGCTGCCCAAATTTGCAAGCCAGACTTGTGAGCAAATTTCTAAACAGACCTTGCACAATATAACAGAGAAGCCGATGGCATGGAACAGCATGCACAACAGAAAATTTTGGGCTTGGTCCAAGAAGGAGAACTGTGTGGGTATCCAACTGAAGTCTGTGGAATTCTGCCCATATCCATGAGTTCACTTTGCAAATCTAAATGCAGAATCTGGCCCTCCATCAGCAAGTTTTCCCCAGAAAATTTTATTTTTCAGGCTTCAGGTAAAATGTTTTAAATCGAAAGAAACACCTCTATTCTGAGGCCTACCATGTGGCCTCTGAGATGCATCTTATCCTCAATTCCTGACAATAGCGTGGGCTCGCAGTAGTGGGACAAAGCTAAGGTTGCGTCAGACTTTTCTGTTTTACAGGGTCTGTACCTCAGCTTTTTTCAGAACTCTGTTTTGTAAACAAGCCAAGGGGAATTTAAACCATATTTCAGCCACTAATTAATGTATGGAGTGATCACCAATGTGTATTTTGTGTTTGCATGTTGTTGGTTTTGGGGAAATTTGGAAAAACAGAAACACTAGCAAAGCCTGATTATTTTCCCTCCCACTTACACAGTGCATGTTTGCTGCCCCCTGTGACTGCCTGAGAGGTTGTGACATCAGAGGTAATCAGCTACTCATCACCTTCTCCTTCCAGTTTATTTGCATAGCTGGGGGAGTCACTAGTGGCATGGTTGTCATGGCAACAGCTGCTTTTACTAACTGATTTCCCTCAGACAACCATGATATCATTACAAAGAAGGGTCCCAGGAGGAGCTGCAGTGAGAGCAGTCTGGGGTTGGATAAGTTCCTGCTTCACTCGTTTGGGTTTGTATTGGGGTAAGTTACACTATTTCTTTTCGAAGGGTGTTTTATTACTTTTCTCAGAAAGGGTTACATGAATTCCTGTATACTGTTTATAGCATCTTAGAAAGGCTGTGGCTTTCTCAATATGTACCTTTTGTAAGAGGTGGGAAATTATAGCTGAGTGTCCCTACTCTGTTCCACAATTAAAAATAAGTGTAATTTAGAAGTTGCAATAAAACTGCAGTTGCGTTAAATTGTATTTTGGTTGAATACAGTTTAATTTAAATGACTTTCAAGATATTGGTGTAAAAGCGTGGCCACTCCTCTCTCGTGAGCGCCTTATGCTGGCCGGGTGCATGCCTGCACTCTTCTGTTTTTTGCAGTACCCTCTGCAGGTAGTTTCTCTTTAAGTGGATTTTCAGTGACTCAGCCCTCCAGCCGAGTCACACACAGTCATTATGTGAAATAACGAAACAACCCCCTACTGGGTAACAATGTTCAACAAATGGTTGGCCCCTCCCCAAAGTCCTCAGTCCCATCTCTGGGCCTGTTTAAACCTTTTTGGGCTCCAAATGAAACTTGTTGCTTCCTGGGCCCTTCACCACTCAGCCCGTGGCCGATTGGAGAAACTCGGGCACACCCACTACTCCGGGTCCCAACCCAGGGATCCTATGATTAGCAGTCACCTGCTGCTTCCTTTGCTAGTGTCTATTGCTGCATTCTTTGACCTGTTTCCCACTCTTTCCGATCAGCTTCTTGGGTCCTTGGCCTGTTGCCTGTTTAAGCAGGATCTCCTGCAGGCCTCCTTGCCTAAAGAGTCCATAACAGTCTCTGCCTTGTTCTCTCCGGGTTCTTTCTCACAGACCCCTTCACCTGGTGAACTTATAACAGTCCCTGGCCTTCTTGTCAAGGCTTTCTCTCCCAGGCCTCTGTGCTTGGAGAGCTTCACAGTCCTATTTCTGCTTAAGCAGGGTTTCTCCCCAGTCTCTGTATTGAGTGTCCCAGCCAGTGACTGCTCTGTCCAGCTGCTGCAGCTTCCTTGGCCATCCAGCAACAGCAAGTTTCCTCCTCTGGTTCCAGCCAGAAACTGAGCTGTGCAGGCCCTGCAACTCCCTTTTATATGAGCCTTGCAGACTCTGATTGGCTTCCTTCCCTGCAACCTCTGGAGACCACTTGGAGGACTCCACTCTATTGCCTTTCTTCTGGGGCGAGGTGTGGTAGGACCGGAGGGCCTTCTGGGGGGCTTCAAAGGGCCTGGTACACACCCTTACAGTTGGTCAACATGACACTAGTTGGTGAAATTTGGAGTCTCACAAAGATAACAAATATACACTGAAGAAAAATTTTTATTATTTAAACAGCACATATACATTTTCTTTCTATTAAAATGAAGGAAATTTACAAAAAATAATAATTTATCATTATTGATTAGAGCAACCTTAAACTAAACTGTAAGAAAGTAGCAAAATACAAATTTGAGGATTAAAAGATTTAAAGATAGGAAGGGCCAGGATGAACATTACCCATGCAATCTTTAGTTGGAGCCTTTGTGCATATACATTATAAACAGCCTTTAATTATATTATCCCATATTAGTTTCTACACAGGACCCCTGGTTCACTCAGTGCACAAGACAGATCTGTTCTGTAGCTGAATCAAGGTTGGACTGAAGGAGTCTGCTGTTTGTATGACTCCTGGCTCATTTGTTACAGAGTTAAAAGGTTTGTAGTTATGAGATAGGGAACTGAAGGAAGAAAAGGATGATCTTGTGGTTATGGAAGTTGAATGCCATCCTGGAGACTTGGACTGTATCTCTGCTTCTGCCACCGAGTTCCTACATAATGCTGGGCAAGTCATGTGCATCAAACTTTTCAGAGGTATTCGCTTTTGCTTGTAATTAAAGGCTGTATTAGAATGCATATGCAGAGGGAGGCCAGATTAAAGTTGCCTTGGCGAAGTTCTTTGTGGCATTTCCTAACTTGAGAGTGCTTGACTTTGAAACCTTTTAATTCATTTTAATTCTTAATTTGGTATTTCCTAAAATTTAATAATTTAGTATATTGATGAGTGCCACTTTAACTAACATTAAATGAAGGTTTTTTGTTTGTAAATAACATATACATGACGTAAAGTGAAAATAAACAGAAAACCCATAGCATGGGATCCAGTCCCAGTGTATGTGGAATTTTGTCTTCTCTTTTCTGAATACCCTTTTAAAGCATTTATTGTATTCCTTCTGAGAGCCCTATTTGACCTGCAGCCCCAGCCAGATCTGCGTATTTACTCCACGCTGTATGCCTGTGTGAGATCTAAGCAGGGAGCTTGTCCTTGTGTGCTAGAAGCAAGTAGGGCCTCAGAAGTATTATGGGGCTGTGAGACTGCTCTCATGCTAATCCACTGTTACGTTTTTGTTTTTTCTCTTATGGAAGCAGTTTGAGTTCATCAGACAAACACTAATCCTTGGCTTGAAACTAACATATATGACACACTAGAACGGTGTGAATAATGGATATTTTGGTTTACTGGCAATTCTAAAATATTGTAAAATATTTCATTTTGGGTTGAACCAATAACCTCCCCCCGCTTTTTTTAAATCAAGAAGTAAAAAATAAATGGGGGGGGGGAGTTGTACAAAATGTTTCATTTTGACAAAATTTGCTGTTTCAATTTCAACCATTTTTAAATGTTTTGATTTAAAATAATAAAATTTAAATAAATTTTGAGAAACAAAGGTTTTTCAGACCAAAAAAATCAAAACATTTCATTCTGACAATGTTAAAACGTTTCAATACTTTCAGAATTTTGGGGAGGATTCTGACTGAATGAATTTGGCAAAACTCACATGAATTCATGAACCATTTCAGTGTCACTGAATCTCCATTTTTCTCCAAAAATATTTCCAGCTGAAAAATTTTACTTAGCTCTACTGCACGCATCTATCTCCCGTGTGCATGCCACAGGGCTATTGGGAATATTTTAGATAATTATATGATCACACACTGTGTAGACCTTGCTGTATGAGAAACAATTACTAGGCCATAGTTTGGGAAGCCTTTGGTAGGACTTTCACCTGGCTATTTACCTTCCCAGAATCAACTACCTCGCTTCTCCTATCCAAGCTAGATTTTATTTTTCTTGCCATCTCCAGATGAAGTGAGGAATCCAGATATGTTCTCCTTCCTCTGAGGTTAAGAGCACCCACCACTGACAGATCATCCCCCTCTTTCTCTCTATCCTACCTCCCAATTGATTTTTCCCTTGTCTCCCAGCCAGGTGAAGCAAAGTGAAATTTTATCAGCTAGATAACAACAAAAAAGGTCTCATTACTTGTATTACGGTAGCACTTAGATACTAGGACTCCTCTGTGGTGAGCACTGCACAAACATATAGTGAGAGACAATCCCTGCCCCAAAGATATTACCATCTTAACTTGCTCATGGCAAAATTATGATGATAGCTCAGTGGTTTGAGCACTGGCCTGCTAAACCCAGGGTTGTGAGTTCAATCCTTGAGGGGGCCATTTAGGGATTTAGGGCAAAAATTGGGAATTGGTCCTGCTTTGAGCAGGGGGTTGGACTAGATGACCTCCTGAGGTCCCTTCCAACCCTGATATTCTATGATTCTATGAGAACCCAGAGGATCAAGGGGATAGCTAGGATTAGAACCCAGATATTCTGGCTTCAAATCCAGTGCTCTATGTTGTACCACACTGCTGCTCATCAACAATGTCATTTGAAGAAACAGATGAAAAAGCATGTTTGTGGAAAAAGCATTTATCTTAAGCGCTGTGGTAGATATGAGTACTTTAGTTTTACTTAGTACTTTAGGTTGCCAACTGTCCTCCTCTCTCTCTCTCTTTTTCTCCACCTCTCTTTTCATTTTCTTCTCATTGTTTGAAAAAAGAGGAGAACAAAATTGGAGAATGAAAACCAAAATCTAACAGTTTAATTTTCCAGGGAACAAGCCTGGTCAGTGGTGAGGTACAAATGTAAATCTAAAAAGTAATGTTTTATAAATAAGCAATTTTGTGAAACATTTCATGTCACAGCCTTAGGCTTCATAAGCAAAGAGCCTTTTTTAATTTATTTTTTTCCCTCTAGCTACTAGGCTAATTTTCCAATGAACTGAGGCCATTCATCCTTGCTCAGATGACAGAAACTGACACTAATATCCACAAGCTTAAAGTCTGGGATTGTGTTCCTGGGAGACAAAATTCTTTGTGATTCTAGCTTATAGACACTGTAAAAGTACCCTGCTCTCCAAAGCAAAGTTAAATCTCTCTCTCAGCTCTAAAGATTGCTGACACAATGCAGTGCACAATTGTTTTGAATCTCTTGTTAAGAATTTCTCAGGCCTACCACATTTGTTCACCAGTGTATTTTCTGCTCACTTACTGACCCTTTGTAAGCAGGACATACCTACAGTGAAAACCCTATCCCTCTAGGATACATTGTCAAAATAAACCTGCATAGATGTATCCTGTTTGTACAGGTTGCCAACAGTTTTCAAAATTTCAAAATCTTGCAAACAAAACAAAAAATGTGGATACAATTTTGACTAAATTCTTGTGAAAACCCTTTCCCCCATTTCTCAACAAATTTGAAATTCAGTATTAAAAATTAAATTTCAAAATTTGAAAAAAACCAGGAAATTAAAAAAAAAATCAAACTTTCAGATTTTTTGCCAGGTCTACTGATATGCTAAATTCAAGAACAAAACTTACTGTCACTGTACCAGTTCTACACTGATTGAGCTATGCACTGCAATCCATGGTAGCAGTTGTACTGAATTTTTCGTTTTGATTGGGTTGCATTGTGAAAAAGTTAACTCTTGTTTTGCAGAATCTCCCTTCCCAGCAAAAGTAAATAAATAAATAAAAAATAAAAATCAAAACCAACTGTAACTCTGATATCCTCCTTGTATGGATGGTTAGTATATTTTGAAGTCACCCTCAAAGAACTCAGGAGGTGTGACTCAAGCCAGAAATATATAGCATCAACCATCCAGAATGTACTGATCATGTGATGGCAGTA